AATTGTATTGATAATGTAACTCTTGTTAACTTATATCCATGTATACTTCTTGTCATGTTATGTGAAATGCTCCAATCTTGTTTCATTGCATAGATATTATGCATTATTCTTGATTTGATGTATTTTTCTTATCTTGTTAATTGGAGTGTTCCAATCATGTTAATTATATTGATAATGTAATTCTTGTTAACTCATATTCAAGTATACCTCTTGTCGTGTTAATTGGATCATTCTAATCTTGTTAAATTACATTAATAATGTGATTCATGTTCAATTGTAAACTTGTCGTGTTCTTTGGATTATCCCAACCCTGACTCGTTTCATATATGTATATATATCATGATTCTTGTTGATATTACTTTAATGTAGCTTAGGATGCTCCCTGAGTCTCATTTTAACATAGACGTTCGGTGGCATCATCCTTTTGAACTGTTCCATGTAGTCTAAAAATCTCTAAAGAAATCGAGTCGATACATACTCATTCTCTACGAGTAAACTTGTTTACTCACCCCGAAGTTACTGGGGGATTTGTTCAGGTATAAAGACTTGGTTCGTGATGCTTGTCGTTCATTGGAATGGTTTGTAACTTTGAGTTTTCATTTCATGCAAGTGTTAGCATGAAATGCCATGGTTGTAGCCTTTTTGTACCAAACTTGTATTCTTTCATTCCATTTGTGTAATATGTACATAAGTACACTCTTTTCATTGTATTCAACATGTATGACATGAGGCCAAGGGCCAAACATATTTATATTTGCACTTGTACTCATTTGGCGCCACCTTTTGTTTAAAAATGTAATTTTTCCTAACTTTGAGGTTTAGCATGTCAAATCTTGTAAATGAAATGTAATGAAGCCGTAGGCCATTGTAACATGTTTAAAATGTCATATTACACTTGCGTGCGTGTTCACATCATCACACAATAGCATATAATGCAATTTGATCATGCCATGGGGGTTTTAAATAAGATTTAAAGTCTTTTCTTCCATTTAGGTGCATAACAGGTTCATATGCACATTCTCGAGCCATTTTGGTCGATCGAAATGCCAGTTCGGTCGACCGATTCTCCTTTGGTTTCATTTGTTCATCAAAATCTTCCAACTCCAGTAGCCATTTTCACTATCGAGGCCCATTTCGGTCGACCGGTTCTCTGTTTCGGTCGACCGAAATAGGTTGTTTCGTTTTGTCACTTCGGTCGATCGAACTGGGAGCTCTTTATTCTCTTTTCTCCTGGCTCATTTCAGCAGACCGATGCTTCATTTCGGTCGACTGAAATGGAGCTGCCTTATGAGTTTGTTTGGTTTGTTGCCTAGACAGGTTAACCTTGTTTCATTCGTTTTCACTTGGCCTTGTTGATCTTGTTCAAACCATTTAATGGCGTACGTGGTCTAGTTTAAACTAGACTTTGTTCCCTTAGTTGTCATTGGTACCATAGGGTACCATTTAACCTTTTTATCCTGGTTTCCGCTTCTGGTTATTTCCTTGGGTTCCGTGACTTTATAGAAGGTCACTTTTGCGTTTAAGAGATGGTCTGTATCTCCTAAGACTTTGGTTTGTCTTTTGCTTCCGCATCAGTTCTCATTAAGTTCCATGACCTCATAGAAGGTCATCAAAGTGTCTTAGAGGTGTGTTATGCCTTGGGAGACCATTGTTTTGTTTCTTACTTCCGCATCTGGATCCGTTATCGGGGCAATCGATTCATCACTGACACGCCGGGTCTAATCAAAACCCGGGTCGTTACATCTAAAGCATCTTACATCTAAGCCATCTATGCAACATTTGCAATTTCAAGCGTTGATCCATTCCGCATATCACTCTATAAAAGGAAGCTTTCAGCTCAAGTGAATATCATCAAGTATTCCAGCAATCTAGTTCTGCCTTTCAGTGTGTTTTCATTTTGTGATTTCTTTTAGTGTGTTTCTTTGTAAAATATTGTGTGAGAGTATATCCATGTATAAATAGTATGTATCCATGTATATAGTTTTCATGAAATAAATTATCCAGTTTGCTTTTATTCAAAAATTCATTTTCTTAGTTAGTATTTTCAGTTCTTTCTGACAAAAGATTTCGGTCGACAAAAAAATCAAATATATAGATTTTATTTAGCCAAACAATATAGATCCTAGAATTTTTTTGAATCCAACCAATACAAGTTGCCTTAGTTTTAATTTAACAATTCTATCTGTGAGTTGACTCGAACTGTTGTTTTGTTGGCCCAATCTTGCCGGTGTCTTGGTGTTGTTTCAGGGCGTTATCAGAGTGTTATCAGGTTCGGAAATCATTTATGCGATTTAATTGTTAAATTTATCTCTCTATTACATGCTTCTATCTTGGTTAAGTTCGATTTAATTTTGGTATCAGAGCAATACTATTTCGTTAAATGAAATTTATATATATAAGATTTTTTGTGTAAAGATGTCTGTAAATCTATATTAATCTACAATGAAGAATTAATTTATGTGAAAAAATTTAGTATTTCGAGAAATTATTTTTGTTAAATTTTAATATTTTTTTTCTTCGTAAATATTTTAAGACAACCAAACACTAAAAAATAAAAATATATTTTTTAAAAAATATTTTACGTCCAAATAAACGGGGCCTAAGGTTTCATTTGTTTTGATGTAAAACAGTCTTGGTATTAAATATCACTAAAGGTTAAACTAAGTTTAGCGTATTCTTCTTTTCTTTGGCTTTTTTTTTTTTTTTTTTGGACTTTAGGTATGTTAAATTAGTTAATGTATTTTAATTTATCATAGTAATTAATCTATATATACTACACAAATTTATAAATATTTTAAATCATTTTCAAAGCCAAGGGTTGTCCAGAAGGTCCAGGAAGAGGAAAAAGAATAAGGGCCTTTTCGGTATAGGTTAAACTTTTGCCTCTTTATTTTAATTTGAAACAAAATAATTGTTTTATTATATGGTATTTTAAATTGTAAAGGGAAGTATGCTTGGTAATATTTATTTGTAACAAAAATTTTAGAAGTAAAATATAAAAACATGGTTGGTAAAAAAGTATGCTAAGTTAAAAAATTATAATTGTTAGTTTTAAAAAGTCATTTTAAAATTTTTTTTGTTTGTTAGGTACAATTTTGCTGTAGTACCTGTTGTTACAATGCAAAAATATATAAAATTATCAAATAGATGTTTCGACTTTTGGCGCTCAACAAACATTTCAGCACTGTACATAATAAAATATTTTTTTCGAAGGCGTTTTTTACTTTTCATTGCTATAGTAGCCATAAAGACAAATGGCATCCCAAACAGATCTAAGAAAATGAAAATTATAAATGTTGTTTCCAAATAGTTTTTATTGACCGAAAACAAGATAGTAAAGCAACAACAGACAAGAAAAAATTGTGTGCTGCAATTGTACTGTGCGACAGGATCATCGAATCGTCAATAAAATGTACAATTTCGGTACTTAAGTGTCGGTGCAACAGACTCAGACAAATTTTTCTCACGTCACAAATGGCTTAGATGCAATTATCATTACACATCATAGAATAAAAATTTTCCTACACATCATAGAATAAAATTTTCCTACAAAATCATTACATGCGCCAATCTACCCAAGACTCTGTCCCATTTATCAACATTAATGTTCCACGCATCTTACTCACTGGAGTCAGTCTCAAAAGCAGCAGTGCTGTGAGTTGTCACAGTAAAGGCTCAGGCTTCATAAAACAAACCGTTCGTAATAACAATCAATGCCAACAAACTTTTTTGAAATCAATATTCATTGTAGGTCCGACACCTCTACATCAATAGATTTAAATAAATATTTACTGATGTATTTGTAGTCACAATCTTTATTCACTATTTTTTAATATTGAAAAATAAATAAATAAATGGAGGTAGTGGTAGTCCACTACATTTCATATAATGCATTTTTGGAGGTCACCAATCTACCCATCCACAGCTGTCGATTAGTTACAAATCCAACGAAGAATAAGAAAGCACACCCCATATATGATGGATGGATATGTTTGTTTATAGAGAGAGTCATTTGTTTCCTTTTCTTGTCGTTTGAGTGCAAGGAAATGAAGATTCGTGGTAAGGCAAAGAAAGGAGGTGGTCCGACGAGAAAGCCGTTGTTACTCTCCGTTAAAACAGATCTAAAGTTTTTCGAGATATCTATCTATATATTAGAAAACCATTAACGTACATTATCTGTTCTCTATCTTTAAATTTAGATTTTTTAAATTAAAAAATCTCTCAATGCCACTTATAAATATGGGTATTACCCCCAAGGCCCCTACATGAAACAGTGAAGACACAACACCCTCTATAATGCTTTCCTCAAAATCATATGGATCTGTTTTTTTATTTTTATTTTTTTGGGGAAAATGTTGAGTACGTGTATATATAGAATCATAGATATGTTGTGTATATATATATATATATATACACACACACACACACACACATACACACTCGTATGTATTTATGGTTTTGGATTGGTGGTACTCTCTCCATATACAAATCTATACATATATAATGTATGATCGTTAAAGGGTGAGTTCATATAGATCTGTTGATCAGATTTACGCTGTTTGTAACGATGGGATTTCAATGGAATTTTAAAACAAATGGGATTTATGAGATTTCAATGGAAATTTCAGAAATACTAGAAAAATCGACAGAATTTGAGGGTATTTGGGGTGTAAACAGATTAAAAATTTGAAACAAATACTAATATTGGGAGTGTAATCTTCACTTTATAAAATACTATTCTATCATCATATTTCTGCGTGGCAACAGTAAGCTTTTCTTTGCTTTCCTAATTAGATCTGATATATATATATATATATATATATATACACACTGTGTTTTTGGTACTGGATTTTGTTAGTGCCGTTCACTGCGCTTCTTGTTATTACATATCAATATTCCAATTTTATGCCATCATAAGCTATTATTAGTAAATACTTATTAGTAATTATAAGTATTAATATCAAGTTCTTAAATATTTTATTCCGTGGATCGTTATAATTTAGGTAAGACAAAAAATTTCAATGACAAAAAAGGAGTTCAGGATTGGGTGATATGGGCAAAATTTACGAAGGTACGTATTTTTTAATGCATTTTACTTTTTGTATTATTGGCACATCTTAATACTAAACTTTTATTTTTTCCCTCATGTATTTGATAAACACTTCATTAATTGTTGCTTTTCATTGAATAGATAGATCAATATTTGTACCATTATAACAAGTTACTTTAATTTCATATTGCATCATTAATTGTTGCTTTACATTGAATAGATAGATCAATATTTGTACCATTATAACAAGTTACTTTAATTTCATATTGCAAATAATCTTAAAGTTAAAAGGCCTTTTTTACTTTATCCTTTAAATGAGTTCTTAAGTGTGATCAGATCGCCAAATTGCATGCACACGATCTATGTAAACAAATGTAAGGAACCCCATAAACACAATAATAATTAAGCTTTTAGTCATTTTATTAAAATAAATAAATAAAAAGGTTATGGACACGTGGTGCTTTAACATTTATACTTGAGTGCGTGAGATGTTAGCAAAATCTACAGTTACTACAGACCCATATGGAATTCGTTTAACTCTTTTTTCTTTCCTTTCCTTCAATTTATTGGCTGGAAATTTGATACTTTCTTTTTTAGTTTAATACAAATTAGTGGAAAAAGTTCGGTTATAAGTTTTAAATTGTGGTTTGTAGAGTTGTTTTAGATTCTTAAAATAGTTCTCGGAAGAGGCAAATTTTGTATTTAGTACTATTGGCTAATGAGCTTGGATGCCAGCGATATGATCATGTCAATTGGCGTTTCCTTTTATATTTCATATAGAGAATGGGTTTAGTGAGAGATGAAGGATCTGAAGTTCAACATGCATATCCACCAGTTATATCGTTGGCAGTTCGGTGTTAGTAGTTGAGGATGCCAGAAGTGACATGGGCCGGATATGACCCGCGAACATGGCATCCGGTCCGAGCAGCTGGGTCCAGCCCATAGAGAAATACTGCCATATGGGCCGAACGCGAATAGCCCATCAAAGATGACCAAAACCCACAGAGGAACGAGCCCAGATCTAGCAATCCATTAGTGTTTGTAAGTATCTATAAATATGAGAAGTAATGGATAGAGAAGGGGATGATTCTGTTGAAGTGTAAGAATTCTAGAGAGAGAAAATGGAAATGAATTCCTTGCATCTTCAATTGGCGCCGTCTGTGGGAAGCGTTGAAGATTGATTGATCATTGATCAATATCGCGTGGATTCAGACCAATTCGTGAAGACGAAACTCGATCTTCGGGAGTTGGATCCAGATCTGAGAGATTGTGACCTATTCTGGAGGAATTTTAGTTCTGTTGCTTTGACGGAAGTGGCTTCAGATCTACGCAACAACGAGTTGTTCGATTGTGGCCGGATCTGATGGATTTGGAATTCGGAGAATTCAGATCTCGTAAACCGTAAGCATAACTCGGAGAATTCGAGTCCAGATCTGAAAAATTCACGCTCACGAAGCTCAGATCTACTCAAGATTCGATCGATCATGTGTACCATATCCAGTTGAAGATGGCTCTGAATACGGAGAACGACTCTTTAATGTGCAAATGTTTCCCTACAAGTCTGGCCGGACCGGCGCTTAGCTGGTTCAAGAACTTGCCTAGGGGCTTGATTGATAGCTTCCGGAACCTGTGCGATCGGTTCATAAGCCAGGACTATGGGAACAAGCGTCCGCCGAAGGATATCTCGAGCCTATTCACAATGAAACAGCACAAAGATGAACGTCTCCAGGCTTTTCTCACCAGGTTTAACCTCACTAAGAGTATGGTGATTGAATGCCACCCTTCTACAGCGGTTCAAGCCTTCAAGTTGGCCATGACACGTGGCACTCCGTTCCATACCAGTCTGGTAGTGAACACGCCGATGACTATGGATGAACTCAATGAAAGAGCCGATGGCTTTGTGTGCCTGGAAGAAGAGGAGGTAGCCAATGCTCGGACACCGTCGGTCGTGTCGACCGAGGAAAAGTCCAAGGCAAAGATCAGGCAGAAGCAGGCTCAGCCGCAACGTCAGACCTCCTGGAAGGCAGAAAAGAGGTCCAGGGAGGAAGAGCTAATCACTCCGTTGAAGGTCACTCTGGCGAGGCTATATCAGGAGAACAAAGATAAGTTTCATCCACCACTGCCAATTAGGCAACCCCTCGAACAGAGGGATCAGACTAAACATTGTGCTTTCTATTCCGATTTCGGTCATCAGACTAACGAATGCAGGAATTTGAGAAGGCAAGTGGAGATGTTGATAGCTAGAGGGGAGTTTGCGAGTTATGTCCAAGGCTCGGCGATAGAGCAGAACCGACCGATGGAGCAAGTAAAAAGAAGTCAGAAGCAAAGCTCCCACAATTCACAGCCAGTTCGTATAATCAATGCTATTCACGGTCGACCCGAGCCCAGCGAAGATTCAGATGAGCTACTCCAAACGCGCCTACGACAGGCGCAGATGAAGAAAAGGGTCAGCAGTGTGAATACTCTGCACCAACAGATCACATCGATACAGATAAAGTTCGACAGGACAGACCTGCTGCGTGTTCAAATCCCCCATGAAGATCCGTTGGTAATCAGCTTGACAGTGGCGAACTGCCTGGTGCGCAGAGTTCTGATCGATCCCCGAAGTAGTGCGAATGTCATGCCGAGGGACACATTTGATCGGCTCGAGATTAAGCCAAAGAGGCTCAAGCCCACTGGAAATCCCTTGTTAGGATTTGATGGTAAGAGGGTGGAGCCCATCGGTATGGTGGAAGTAGAAGTTCAAGCTGCAGAACGAGCTCTTATGGAAACTTTTGTGGTTGTGGAGATTCACCCCTCGTACAATCTCCTGGTGGGAAGAGGATGGATTCACAGAGTCCAAGGTGTGCCCTCAACTCTGCATCAGGTCATGAGGTGCCTCGGACCCGACGGATATAAGGTGATAGACATTCATGGGGATCAGGTTGCAGCCAAAGAGTGTTATTTTGTCACACTAAAATATGCTGGGAAAGGGAAGGCGCCCATTCATTCGGCGAGCCCAAGATAGCAATTACAGGAACCTCCACCCAAGCAGAATAGGGTGGAGGAGCCAGTTGACTTGACCCAAGAGCCCCTTCTGGATGTGCAGATCGATCAGTCCAAGCCAGAGCAAACTACCAGAGTAAGAGTAAGACTGACTAGGGAAGAGCAGCAGGAGCTGATTGACTTCTTGTCTCACAATGCCGATGTATTTGCATGGAGTCACCTGGACATGCCTGGAATTAATCCCTCCGTATCCTGTCATTCCTTGAATGTCAATCCCAATTTCAAACCAGTAAAGCAGAAGCAATGAAGGTTTGCTCCAAAACGTAACCAAATCATAGCCGAGGAGGTTGATAGGCTGCTCGATGCGGGATTCATCAGAGAAGTGCACTATCCTGATTGGTTGTCCAACGTCGTTGTCGTGCAGAAGAAGAATGGGAAATGGCGAATATGCATTGATTTCACCAATTTGAACAAAGCCTGTCCGAAGGATAGCTTCCCGCTGCCTAAGATTGATCAAATGGTGGATGCCACCACCGGGTATGAGCGCTTAACCTTTCTGGACGCTTATTCAGGTTATAATCATATCCCTATGGACCCGGCAGATGAAGAAAAAACTTCTTTCGTTACCGAGCGAGGGACATACTGTTACAAAGTTATGCCTTTCGGACTGAAAAACGCGGGAGCAACTTATCAAAGGCTTGTTAGCAAAATTTTCAAGGATCAAATAGGAAAGATTGTGGAAGCCTATATTGATGATATGGTGGTAAAGAGTAGGAAGAAGGATGATCATCTGAAACACCTGCAAGATGTATTTGATGTGCTGAGGCGATATGGGATGAGGCTCAATTCAACCAAGTGCTCGTTCGGAGTGAGTTCCGGTCAATCACAGAGGCATCGAAGCTAGCCCTGCTCAAGCAAAGGCTTTGATTAAGAATGCCGAGCCAAAGACGATCAAAGAAGTGCAAGCCCTCACAGGACGAATAGCTGCATTAAGTCGATTCATTTCTAAGTTGTCAGACCGTTGCAAGCCATTCTTTGACACGATCCGGAGTCATGGAAGACAGGTCTGGGGGGATGAACAACGACAAGCATTAACCCATTTGAAGGAATATATGCAGAATCCGCCAGTCTTGTCAACCCCGGATCCAGAAGAGAAATTATATCTATATCTCGAAGTATCTAGTGTTGTGACAAGTGCCGTTCTGATTCGTTGCAAGGAAGGGGTGCAACACCCGGTGTTTTATGTCAGTAAGACGATGACCGAGGCAGAAAGAAGGTACTCGAAGGCTGAACGGGTGATACTTTCACTCGTAAACGCAAAAAGAAAGTTGAGGCATTATTTCGAATCCCACCCTATAGCTGTCGTAACAACTTTTTCAATCAGAGTGCTTATGCACAAGCCAGAACTCTCGGGCAAAATGAAAAAATGGGCCATAGAATTAAGCTCATTTGACATAACGTATGAGCCGAGAACGGCTGTCAAAGGACAAGCGGTAGCCGATTTCCTGCTAGAATGTGACTCTAAGGGCACGGAAGAAGACCTTAGATGCGGCTCTTGGAAACTTTATGTGGATGGCTCCTCTAATCAGATGGGGGCAGGAATTGGGATTAAACTGCAAACCCCAGAGGGTACTTCTTTGAGTTAAACACTCAGACTTGAGTTCCGAGCCACCAATAATGAAGCGGAATACAAGGCATTGCTGAATGGGCTAAAGTCGGCCAGAGAGCTATAGGTCAGAAGTTTGATTGTTTATAGTGACTCACAGTTGATTGTTCGGCAGGTAAATGGTGAGTACGCGACCAAGGATGACACGATGGAGGCATATCGTTCTACCGTTCTGCATAAAGCCAAGGACTTTGCAAAGATTGAATTCATACAGTTACCGAGAGAACATAACGCAGATGCAGATCGGTTAGCATGTAGTGCTTCGAGCTCTGGCGAGACATTGGCGAGGGTGATTCTAATAGGAATACTGACCCAGCCATCTATTTTTGAAGAACCTTTAGACTCTGAACCTTGGCAAGTCAATGTCATA